AGATAAGTCCAACTGTTGATGGACTATTTAGTAGTCAACTTTATTCCAAAGAGTCAAAACACACCGCAGCACGCCAGAAGATAATAGGGCCGAACGATTGTAACTTCAGAACCTTTATACTGCCAGTGGTTATACCGGACACTTCTTCGAGAGAAGCAGACGTCGGGTGCACAGACGACGGCCAAATCAGCAGCAACCGGAAGTCTGGAGGGCCATTCCCTACGTTCAAGCGGTCTCTCGACGGATATAACCCGCCAAAGTAGGTATAACCCATCGACCCCAGATAACGAAACGATGCCGTCTGATGCAACCTACGGGCCCATTGCCACCTGCTGAAACCCCAACAGTCATCTACAAAATAAATTGCAATGGGGGCGACGGCAAGTATGCGGGAGAAACCGGGCGGAAATTGCAGACTGGAAAACTGCAAGAGCAGACTACAAGAGCACAAATCGGCCACTTGGAGGTTATATCCTAGCTCTTAACTAGCAACACACGTTGGAGAAACTGGGAATAATTTCGGGCTCCAGAGAGCTACCATCTTAGGCCGAGGCCACGCAAAAGCAGAGCGTCCAATTCTCGAGACGCGGTACTTCGATGGCCAAAATCGATCACTACGAGGCCCGCCAACGTGACATGCCGATTTAGATTTCTGGTGGTTTAAGTGAATTTTACGCTTTGACAATGGAGAGTCGAACAAGCTCTTTGAAACGTCAGCTTTCACATAAACCCGTCCCCGTGAGTCCAGCTTCTTCTTCAAATCATCAACCCAAATCTCTCAACTTTGCCAATCTGAGTTCTTACGAGGATTTTCACTTCATCGAACTCGAAGTTTCGGCTGGGTCTTGGCGAATCAATCGTTACTTGAACGTTGTCGTCATTGCTCCTCACGCGCTTTAACATGACGAAGTCCTGCAGGGACAGCTTCTGCTACGCGTAACTGAATCAATGCTTAAATTATGTTCACATCACACTTACCATCGACAAGCGTAATGGGATCAAACTTATCTAAGCAACTTTGCAGGAAATTACGCTGAACATAGATATTGGTTCCAACACTGTGGTGGATTCGGTTCTCGCAACTTTGACAGTGCTAATTAAGTAATGCAAAGTCGACATTACAGTATTCAGTAACATTGCGTAATCAAGACTGGAAAATAACGAGCCGGGTCCACTGCGTCTGACAGGAGATTATTCTGTGGTAGAGAAGTGACCAGCACCCCCAAAGTCCAACGTCCGACAAATCATTATGACCAGCAGGAACTCTCCTATCTGCATATTGCCGATTTTGTCTGACCGGGTTCAGAAAAGACAACTCGCTTGGTGGCATTCCTTACAGGATTCATCCTCCCTGTCACAGGTGATCACATACTTAACGTGGAAAGTGAGTTTGGCCATGATCGGCATCTGTTATAAAAGCGGTCATTATATTGATTCGTTTCCGTTTCGCCTTAATGCGTGCAGCCGGACAGCGCGCGTAGATACGAGCTCATTTGCGTTATTGTAGTCCAACAGATTTCCTGGCCGAATAATGCTACCTCAAAGTGATTCTTGCATTAGTTTATACGGATATGTATGTGGCTCTACAATCCTGACGTATATAAATCGTTGCGCTACTTAGAAATATATCCTCAAAATGTACAGGTGTGGGTGTAATTATGAGAATAGACTGATCGAGCACCGGAACAGTTTGTGTATTGGAGTCAGGTATACAATGGTAGAGAGGCGCTCACCGATCGTTTTTACGGAACTCGCTCGTTCCGTTGTGCCTTATGGACGCTCTCTCGAGCCCAACCAGCAGCCGCACAGCGGCGCATGATATAGGCAGAATGATATTACCGACAAAGACAAGGGAGACTGGAATGGCCATTTCTGGCTTATTAGCCGTCGTCAGCCAGCCATACCCAAGCCCGAAGTGTGGAACACCCGAGCCTCGAACTTGCGACCTGTTTCTTAGAAGTCCACGCCTCTAACCACTGAGCCACGAGCCCGTTGGCTGTCGGCTTTCGGTCGGGAATATACAATGTTAGGGGGGCGCTCACCGATCATTCTTACGGAACTCACTCGTCCCGTTGTGCCTTATGGCTTTCTCGCGAGTGGGTTCAGTAGAAACCACTGGTGAGTACACGTCTAACATTGTATATTCCCGATCGAAAACCGACAAGGCAACGGGCTCGTGGCCCGGTGAGTAGAGGCGTTGGGCTTCCATCGAACACGTCGCGAGTTCGGCCTCGAGTGTTTCAAACTTCAAGGTTGGGTATAACTGACTGACGACGGCTAATAAGCCAGAAATGGCCATTCCAGTCTCCCTTGTCTTTGTCGACAATACCATTTAGTCGGGTATATGCTAGCGACCCATATATGGATATTCACACTGTTGACATAACATGAGTTAAACTGCAATCGTAACTTTTGCATGCAAGTTTGCAATGTTGTTATCCTAGTCTAAATTGACCGATCGAAGGAGTTCCTCTAAATCCAATCCTGCAAATGGAGACTTCTACTAATACAAAGATAAGTGGAAGGAAATACCCTATGTTCATTTTCCGCTCAATTTAAGGACTCTCCCAAATAGTCGACAGTTTTAAAGGGTCTCACTGAGACAAAAGCAAATGCGTTTAGGTTGTAACGTAATACGCTATAATAAGCTTCCATTTAGTGGACATTTTGGCAAGCATTTAAAAGGTAGGGATGGGTTGTTTTGTTTTTCCGTATTTTTAATTAGCTTCGGGTTTCTCCTGTAGTGCAGCTGTTTTTTTCCGTTTTGTGTGCGTAATCCGTATGTGATGCTGGGCGTGAGTGTGCAATCAAAGCTTCAGGCGAATAAAATGCTTTTCGGACATTTGTGTCACTTTCCAATCAACTGCGTCCTGAATCGGACGTCTTGTTTTAAACAGGTTCTCCATTTCCACGCAATATATATCCTGAACTCACCTTTTATTTTTCGTGCGTGGACCCATTTACAGAAATGTTTTTGCTATACGATGGCTCCATTCAAAAATATCTCCTCCGTAGCTAAAATAAAATAATGTTTCCTCATGTTAGTATAGTGTAAAATAAATTGCCGTTTTAGGATGCACTGCTCGCATTGAGACACTTGCCGTTCCATGTCTTCCACTGATTTGGACAAGAGTATATCATTGACAAGTCATATGTGAAAGAACGTAATTAGCATCTTTTAAAGCGAATAAGCATTACTAACATTGCTCGGCACTGAAGGTTAGCCCGAAAATCTTGTTTGTCAAAATGAACTAGGTTGCATTGACGGAAATAGAAGTCAACCAGGGAAAAATTTTAAAACATAAAAGTCGCCTCTTATTTTCGTGAAGTTTCACTAATTGTTAACTAGTTTTTTGATGCATTTGTGTATAAATACTGAAAATACTTCTAACGACAGTTTGACTGTCGGTTTCGACTATGTCCAGATGTGCGCCACAGCAAGGTGAGAGCACAGACGTTGACATGCGCGTGAATTAAATTATAGTGATAGTAAACTCTGGGCAGCATCTACCGCACCCCCTCCTCCTCCCCCTCATTTTCCTCTTTCGACCTCATGACCAAGTCAAGGAGACCGGAGGCAGTGGAAGACGCAGGTGTCAGACACGGCGAAACCCGCATCTAGGCATACAACCACATCCTTATTACGCAAATACACTAACCATAAGTGTATACAATGAGAAAAAAAGAGGGTGTCCTAGTTTCCAATTGACGCAGCGTTAGCCTGCGAGTGTTCGCGCCACCTCACCTCATATTTTGGAATTTCTTATAAGTTAGCGTTCCCAAAACGCAGGTCAGACTCTGATCTAGCCTCCCGCTTAGTCAAGCACAACTACCACGTGGCAGATATTAGTGGCACAGTCATCCACAAAACGTTCATTCGCATACTCGGCACATTTATCTCTGCATAATCTTTAGACCCATTGGATCACTTTTAAGGGATAAGGTGCATTAGGAATCGTTTGGCCCTATGCGCCATACGCGGTGGTCACTTAAAAGCATGCATCTTCTGAAATGATTTAGTAACTGAAAAGTACATACCAGAAACTGTGTATTATAAAAACACCAACATTGACTTCTGAGAGAGAAATTCTTAGTTATTCTCCTAAAGAGTATACAATGGGTAGACCTCGCCCGTCGAACCTATCGTAATGCAGGAATGTCTGATATCGTTGAGATTATGTCGAAGTGTTCGAACACGAAAAACTTGTCTGCATTCAATGTCAGTTCATTAAAAGTAATAGCATGTGCCCATGTAGCATTTGCTATATAAGCATTAATGATTACAGTTCCTACTTTTCTGGACGTACCTAGATTTCGCATATATGTTGGAGAATATAAAAATGCAACTGCATTTCCCCTAGGTGACAAGTTTAATTTCTAAACTGTATTGCCCATCTCTAGTTGGTTATACGAAAGGAAACTTGACTGTAAGGTTTTTCACATTGTCGAAGTTTAGAAGGCGTGGGATCGTGCCATTTTGTGCGTCTATGGTCTTATGATAATTTAGTTGTGCAATCTTCAGTGAAAACAGTTTGATTTACGGACCGCCGTGCCAAACCACCTAGAATTTGTTTGCGGTAGTCCCCTAATCGCCAGGCGAAGAGATCAGGATTACGTTTACGAAAGTAGACGCATACGCGCAAGCGCATATCGGCCCCAGTGAGGTGAGATCGCAAGTGTCACTAAAGCTTTCCTTGAGGAAAAAACTGTTTTTTTTCACTTACTGCAAGCTTTCACTCAGTGCAATCGTCTACAGACGCCCAGTTTTAAGAAAACGCCGTTTATTGCCGCTGCACTGTTGCTGTCTGGATTCTATTGGCACCGCTGAAGTCTACACAATCGATTTTTCGCCGGCAGTCCCATGCTGGCAGATTACGCCAAAGTCTGGCATCATTAGCCAAAAAACTGAGTGGTAGTGAGCTGACGTTTAAAAAGGCCTGCAGCACTTTATATTTTTGCCTTGACGGTCCTTTCTGCAAACTACGTTGAATTTTTCCTGAATGCGAATTGCAACGGAATCAATAACATTATCACATTACTCTATTGTGTGTTTTGATATGGCTACTAGTAATGATGCTATTCCTGTTGCTGTTGCCGTTAATGGTGATAGCGGTGATGATGATGATGATGATGATGATGATGATGATGATGATGATTATGATGATGATATGGACACCGGTGTTTGCGATGATCATGATGATGGCTGTGATGTCTGATTTGATTCACGGAAAGAACAGAAGATTTAAATTAGTTAAGCAGAACACTTTTACCGACAGTAGACAAATTTTTACTGGAGGAAATATCATCTAAGTGTAGAACGACTGTGCCGCGCGATGATTGCCTCTAAACACACAAAGATATCGGCTTCCGTAGTAGTCTCCCTATTTCTTAGATGTAACCGCGTGGTCCGCAACTGCGCCAGGACCGATATGTAACATCAGTTGCTTCCCGTCGCGGTAATTGCTGTTTCGGCCTCATTACTCGGTGTTTTTTTTAAATTAATAGCTTTATCTGTGGTCATCTGTAGTGATGGGTATGTGTGCGAATTCAAAACCTCAGGTGAATACAAATTCGTCTTCCAACGATAGCATCTCTATCTTCTCTGCTGCGTCCAAGAACTAATATTTCTCTCCCCGTGATGCAGCCAAATATTTTTAGATTTTCCTCTCTGGAACAGGCAAATAGTCATTCTTTAACTGGCGTGCAATCAGGAATTTGGTTTCTTTGGATTATAACGTTGAATTCAATATGATATTTATACTTTAGACTTATCTCATGACATCAGCGTATACAGTAGATGTGTTAACTCAGGAAATGTCAAATGAACTTTGAGCAATTGCTTTCGACTCGAAAACATACTTAAGTAACTTTGCAATATTTATCACCGTGCAGGATAATCTTAGGGCAATTTACCCGCCTGCAAGTACTACACTCTAAAAAAATAGCTATTTGTAAATCATCAATTCGTCGCATCGTTTTTCGATGCATATATGAATTCGAATATATTTCATTAGAAACATGTAAAAGGTTTTTACTCGTTTGAAAATTTGAAAGAGAAGTACGTCCTTTTAAATTTTATACTTTAGGTAAGGAGATAATTCGATTTTGAAAAACATTTCCAATTTCTTGGTAATTTTGAACCCGAACTGCGGTTGCAGTTACACTCAAAGTTCGTAAACTACAAAGTGTGCATTTTCTCCTTGCTAAAACTCATACATCCTTATATGATATTTAGAGGAAACCATATTAGTTCCATAAAATGTATCAGTGGATTTAAGGTATATCGTGAACTTTACAATTCGTGTTAATAGCTGCAAAGACACGAGGTTTTATGAACGGACATTTCATGGTCTTAAAAGACGTCAGAAATGGAAACTTTTAGAACCGAATTAAGCCAATCCTTCAAATGTTATATTAAAGAATATAAGGGTACGAAAATCAGTGAGAACAATTTATGCTACATATACAGCTACCTTTTACAGAATGTAGTTTTTGGAGACGACTGGATGGAAGTTCGTTTAAAAGATGACATCCTGAAGTAAATGAATTATTATAGGATTAAGCTGCGTAGTGATTACTATGACAACCCTACTCAAGTAATATTTTTAAATCCAAATCGTATTTCAGCATTTCGGTTAAAATGTCATGAGTTAACAAATCTACTGTACATATTTTCCGTAAAAATCCTGGTCAAATATTTGTTGTGGTGGTACACCTAGGCGCGGATCCGGCCGCGCAAATCACCTGCGCCCTCTCCCACCTCTAGCCTTCCTGACTATGTCTTGACGCCGGGCTTAGGTGGGGGAGGAGGGGAGAGTGCGGTAGATGCTGCGTGAGTTTACTCACAATATAGACTAATTCGACGGTCAAACCATGTATACATTGGTGGCTTACGTCAATTTAGGCATATTCCATGAGTTACGTCCCCTACAGCATGTCAATATTCTCTACCTAGCTATCGCTTTTTTAGTATCTTACCTGTGGTTACTTAGGAGGTAGTCGACGTCCCACCGGGGTAACTCTCACGGAGGTGAGCAGTTTCCGACTTTACAGTTTGTTTTCTAGACACCACTCTATGTGTATGCCTCAAATCCCAATTCACTATGTTTCATTTTACTCGCAGTTGTTGCTTCAACGTTTGCTAGTTAGTCATGCTATGTGTTCGTGACATGTTTGTTAGGGAGAATGTCAAGTATTTTAATTTTTTTCTTAGAATAACATAGGGTTTTTTTTATAATCTCACAAACCTATTCCTCATCCAGCCAACCCATCTACCCAATCCGCAATACAAGTCAATCGCCTGGCCTGTTCCTTGTCCGCGTAACGCACAGACAACCTATCCATAAACTGCATGCTAACCAGTCCCGCAAACGTGCAGACTGCAGCAGTCTGAGAGATCCACTTATTAAATTGCAAACTAAAATCAGTAATTTGTGGGAAAAACAATCTAAAAGATAAGTATGATTTTCTGTGAGGCATTTTTCTAACAGGATAAGTACCTAAGGTTGCATGAAGCTCAGAATCCGTCGAACGCAATGCAAATGGACAATTGGACAATTTTTACTAAACCTACCCCAACAGGCACTTAACCACAGCATTGGCAATGGACGTTTTCTACTACAAATCAGTTCCCCATCTGAAAAAACGCACCTCTGATATACGATAATATTTCAAAGCGTCTTGCAAAATGGTGTCCAAGAGTGACCACTCATGACATTTATGTTATCATGATATGACTTGTGGCACCACAGGTTTTAGTTAAGACTTCTAATGATTCTGCCTAGATTAAATTCTCACTCATAGCAACCCAAATTATTGCCCCATTGGGCACTTGTTTTTTTCATCTGCTTAAGCCAGCCCCTATATGGAAGACTCCTTAGATGAGAAATCGTTCATCATGTCATAACAGGCGTCATTGTCGCCAACAAATTCAATGACAATAAAAGTCTTTTCTTTGAAGTAAAGAAGTGTGAATTATAAAGGAATCGGGCGGCATTATTCCTCTCAGACCTTGCTTTCAAAAACAACAAAACAATCTGTTCAGATCTTGGAATGCTGAAGCAATTTACCATCGGACTTCATTGGTCGCCCTACATATTGTCGTCCTTACGATCATAATTCTGCTTTACATATTGTTAAGTTTCAAAAAGGGCCAAGGCTTTAAAATTGTCTAGCTTGGATGAGGTTGCTTGAAACGCGGGTCCCCCTTTAATAGCGTCGTCCAAAAGGTAAAATATGAGGCAAGGTCATGCTTTTAAAACAATGACAACTTGCAAATTCTTACATTTCCATCGTTTTTTATTCAGTCAGGTAGGGGCCGTTGACATTTTCTGGTATGATTGTAACGCTTTTCTCGTCCAAAAACTAACTGATGTCTTTTGAGTGTTGCAGTCACAATACAAGCCCAAAGGATTAATTCTATTTATAGCCTTCGACAGGTAATAAGCACGTTTAATATTATGTCCAGTTTGTAGTTTGAAGTTAGTGTTCGACTCGGTATCATGCTTAAGAGGATGAAATACAACAATTAAAATTTTAAGTCATACCTGTCTCAACTGTATTTTACTTCCAAAAATTATATTAACCAGCAAAATCTGCAAATTTGGACGCATTTAAATGATGTTTATTTGAAAAACCAGCGATTTAGCATAACTCGGTTGATTCTGCTTTTTCTCGATTAACTAGGTTCAGTAGACTTGATCCAGATGATTACTCACATTAAAATTTCTACTGGTAAATAACGATGACCATTTGGTAAGTTTAAGCTCAGAGGAATGAAAACATAAACAAGTATTGCCATTAACAGTGTCTGCAAGCGGTCATCATGTTGAGTCTTGAACTTACTATGGACTTCAATCCTTAAAATGCTGCTTTCACGAATTCCCATCACATTTTGGACGTCATCTAAATGAACGTACTAAACCTAGGCCAGTGAATCAACAAAAACCATTCTGAATCAAGTAAAACAGGGCTCAAGTTCCCAAAAACTCAACCTCACGCCAAAGTGCATCAATCACTGATCCATATACTTACTTGCACTTGGGAGAACGAAAGGTTGTTAAACTACGGTTTCGCATTTGGCCGAAATCGCATCAAACTTCGCGATTTTGTAAACCATGAGCACCACTGGGGATATAAATATACTTCTAGATTCTTCACATATTATTTCCATTTATTACCAGAAGGATTGATTTCTCCTTTTATCAGAGTCGAGGACATATCTCACCGAATCTAAATGAACAGATTTGTCAGAAACACTGAGGTCGATGATAGTTGAGTTGATCGTCCGTTTCCTTATTAGTGATTTTACAGGAAAAAAGGCACGCGGAATGCCAACATATGTTCATGTGAATTTTTACTTGTGACAGATGCCCACAATGGCCACTAAAAACATGGTCTACACGACAATGGCCGCCTATAAAAGGCCAGCGTTGCTCTGTTTTATTATTTAACGAAGATTGAAAACCGAAGGTCTTTGCATGAAAGTTTCAGGCAAAGACACCTAATAAAATAAAAGGCATGTTAAATTCAGTAAGTGTGAATATATTTGTCGACAATGTCAATTAAAAACACAGTTAGTTAGAAAAAAACCAGGAATATAAAACCATGCAAACTTGGAATCAGAGTTGTGTTGATTTTGGTGACCGCGCTTTCTCCAGTTTACCACGAAATGCAAACCCATGATGCCACGAACATCCAAAGGCTACCTAAATTCAAGAAAAGTACTCCAAAGGAACGAGCAGTCAAGAATAAATTTAAAAATTATTATTACGCTCATGTACATAGAATATCGCTCATTTATGACGCAAGTAAAACTTAGCAATTTGACCAGTCTACACTTAAATAACTGATTTTGCTTGTTAACATTCCACAAAACTGCAAAATACTATGAATAGTCATCAGATCTGAGAAGAGATGCATTTTGATTTTCTCAAACAAAGTGGGTGCCTTAAAATATATTATGTGAAAAGTATTGGCCTTGTTGCAGCCATACCCATTACTCTTTTCGTTCCCGAAGTAACTATACTGGGTGCCATCAGCACAGGGCCGGTTACACTGATAGATTGATTAGAGGCGGCTGAAACGGAAAAATCAGTTTGTAGTTCGAACAAACAGCGAAACGTTTCTTCACTCGGGACAAATCCACGATTATATGAATAAGTGTATAATATAACAATTAACATGCCGAAGTTATAGTTATGCCAGTCCTAAACTTTAAAAATGAAACATCTTTTGGATTATCTAATAATGGATCCGCATTCGTTTTCAGTGGCGAAAGTTTACAGTCAAATCATTCCTTTTGAGCATGGGTCAAAACGTGGGATCGCGTCCTGAAAAATGCATAGTAATCGACGCAGGATATAGTTTTAAACTACAAACCAGCTGACGTCTGCTAATGGCACACACGCCTGTAGTCTGTCTTCGATGTTGGCATGCATGAAACTGCTTTTAATTTAGAAATAGGATTACAGGACAAAGTTATTTAAGGCAACCGGTCAGTAAACTCGAGAAACTGGTTGATAGGCATACGCTCGTTTTTGATAAATTATCGTCAGATCCGTACAATTAAATGGGAGCTGTGTCAAGCAAAACATGTCACGGATCAGTAAAATCCATCTCAGTTTGTCTTAAAACACAGGCGAAGTGAGAGAATATGGGAGAGAGGAGTAAAAAGATCATGCCAGGGACAGAGAGGGAGTGAAAGTGGTAGAAAGACGCATGTATTTATTCGACTTTTCACCATGAATAGCGTGAACTCTAAAGGAAGTTCTTTTGCGAGCACAAAACCGGCTCTTGTAACCTGGTAGCGGCCGGTTCTGTTGTTGCTAATAGACGCTGGCCCAGTAGCTAAGAGTAGCGCGTCGTTACTTGCCGTGATCAAAAGTTGAATAACTTCGTGCAAATGTTCGCGCGCTCCCGCTCCCAAATCGCCCCTAGCACGACTGTATTTACATCCCACTTTTCTAAAACTCTGCCCGTGTTTTTGGACGAAATGCAATTCATTTCGTTAATCGTTGAAATATTTTACTTGACTATTCCATTGGTATGTACGTGTCTGATGAGAATGTGTCAAAAGCAAACCTATGCTCCCCACTTGTCTTCTGAAAACAATCATGGGAATTTTAAAATCTCCGTAATGCTCAGAAAGCCTTGGTCGATTTTTTCGTACTTTGTGATTTATGCCCTTCCAAAATTTGCAATCCGTTTCATTAAATCTCCTACGGAAGGTAAAATGAAAGAATACCCTGGAAGACTAAACTCCACTCTCTTGTTTGACTAACCGAGGTCACTCTATGTGGTAGCAAAAAGTGCTCGTTTTCTGAGGGATATGTCTATCGAGAAGCGAAAACATTTGAATTATTGGGGTGACTCGTTCATAATCTGATAAAGATATCACGTAGATACCAAACTCACCTTCCCAGTCTACAATGTAGGTCAGTGTTATAGTCTGTTCCTTGTTTGCATGACAGTAGTAGAGTGTCCAAACTGCAACCTCTTTGTAGACTTGATATCCAACAGTCACACGACCATTCCGCATGTGAAATTCTAGACAGTTTAAAGCAGCTAATTGTTAACTAGCTGATTTTAATAACGGCTATTTAAAAGCAGAAATGGAGACAGTCGAGGAGAGTGGGACTTATGTTTGGAGTCGTCGTTTGTTAAGTACCGCAAAGAAAAATTCGCAAAGCAGTTAAAACTTGAAGCGCAGTCTGCCGGGAGATGTAACGGATAATTCCTCGATTATTTCGAATTAATTTGGACTTGTTATTAGCCAAACCTCACAGCAAGACTTAATTAATTTTTTAAGATAAAGAATGCCCTTTTCGCCCACAATGCAAAACAAATTGAGGGAAAATGTTTTTTATTGCAAGTCGAATAATTATTACTTCTAGGCGGCCGCGAAAATCTGCAAAGAATTCACTTACTGCAATTGTCATCGTTGGCCGATGTGGCGGTTTGTAATCCAGAGCAAAGCAGTCTTTCGTTAGTATAGCAGCTTATCTTTAAATAGAGAGAGTGGGCGGTTAAATCTGTTCAACAATTCTTAAATTCTCTTTGGCAGAGGTGATTTAAGTTGTGTCGTACATCTTGCAAGTCCGATTCATTGCCATTGAATGTCCAGAACAACTGGACGGTCCCAGTTTGTGGACAGAGGTTTAACTTAGTGCCTTCTTCTATATAGAAGCCAGCTGAAAATAAAAACGTCATTTAAAGGTTTAGCAAACTCTTTCATCTTTAGAGTTGCGAAAATTCTCACTGTAAAATTCAAAAGGCTATTTGGCAAGCATCCGTTTGCTTTCGATAAATTCTCTTCAGGTCTGTACATTTATATGGCTATTGAAGTAATGAATGCAAAAGATACGGGCATCTTTGCTCTACCAAAATTTACGCCATCTACACGAAAGAAGGAACCTACGTATGGTTTCATCCTCTGCTTTGTGAATCGTAATTGGAAATGTGTCTCTTAGCATAATGTAAGAGATATTCTCTGCGTCAGGAAACATCAGCTGCGTTGCCAAACGATCGTCACCTTAAGCAAAAAGTAACGCAAGCAAATCTGTAAAAGTCAGTTTGTCACTTCTGGGACGCTTTTAAAATAAACGTTCCTAATTGGGGGCCACACGCTACTCAACGTGTCAAATAGGTAAATATTTCCAGTAGGATTTACTTATTGGAGCAAACTGGTAACAGGAATAACAATTCAAAAACGTTGAAACAAAATATGCCATCTAGTGTTTACACTACAACAGTAGACAGCTGAATCATAGGTGTTAAAAACATAGGGGCTTCATACGTGTAATGTAAGGACACCGAAAGTAGCCTTGCTTGTACGAACACCAACCCCTTGCCCAAGGGTATGTCCAGAAGGTTTCATTTCCAAGATATCCTCTCTTTAAAAGACCGTACGAGGAGGTTCAATTGAAGTATCGACGTAATGGTTAACGGAGTTAAATGTTAATTAAACGCAAGACGCAACATTTATTACAAACTGTAAACGCACCCAATAACTTTCCAACACCGGCAAGTCGAAAGCAATGTTGCCAGTTGAATTCTTTGGTATTAGCCTTTGGCTCCAAGTACAAACACCTTGTCCATAACTGGAATACAGATTTGACATTATTGCTTATTTCGATTTATTCACTTCAACTTTTGCTAAGATGAACTCGACAAGGCAAATTTCATTTCTGTCGGTGATAAGTTGCACTATTCCTCCGGACCACATCAGTTATCAGGGCCGGACACTTATGTTTGTGCTATTATCTTTAACCTTATTTGTTTATTTTTAATGATCCTATTTGTCTTTTATGCTACCTAGAAACTCTGAGTTGTCCAACCATTCTGCTCTCAGACACAAGGAACTGACAGAAGTAGATCTTTGGAAATTAACTAATTTTTCTAACAAAATATGGTGTGTATCTATTTTAAGCTGGTGAGCACGTATTTGCAGTAAAAACCTTATTATTCACATGTTTTTCTGCACAAAACGCCCAGCAGGATTTCATTTACCTTTAGTTCTTTATCAAAAATCAATATGGACATAGTTTCGGATTTAAAATTCCACGACCGTTTTGAGCCAAACACAATGCGTTAAATTATTTCGGCCTACAATTTTTGCTCGAAACTGGAAACACGCTAGTATGTGTAAACTTAGTTGACTATTTCGTCCAGACGTCTTTGATCATCTACGTGACCCCGTGAACGTGGTTTGCCTTGGAGCTCCAACGCAAGTCAGAAATGTCCCATTCCTTTCTATGTTTACGAAAGGTCAGTGAATACCCCTCACGTATGACCTTAACCTACATGGCACTCCATTTCGATATTTACTTCCACATTACGTACTTTTGCATTGACAGACAATACTTCAAGTACGATGTTAAAGTTACATCGGAAAATACATTTGCCCTCCTATCGAAAACTCTCTTTCTGTAAATAACATGGGACAGGTCTTGCTGAATTGTATACAAGTGCTTAACAACGCTTGCAAATGTTAACTTAGTGGAAAGAGCATTCGCATATTGATTCCAAAACCAGATCTCTCAGGGTTTACATAAAAATTCTATTTTATCATATCGTTTAAACGTTCAAAAATGTTCTTGTGACAAAATTATGCCTCACTTGCGTCGACATCTTCTTCTCTGCGATCTCTATTCCGCAGCAGAACCACCCCTAGATAGTTAATGTTCAGATTACCTGGTAACTGCCGTCACAATTGGAGGACTATTTATACTAGCTGTACACTTCCTAAGTGCATAAACATTTCCATAAATAAAAAATTATTTTAAAAAAACGGAATGCAACTCGAGTGACCATTTAAAATTATCTGCAGATTCTTCAGGACATTGCTAGTGGGATGATTTTTGTCATTAAATTATTAAAAAAACAGAAATTCCGAACGTACCCCATATGAAGAATAAAGAAAAGCAGGGCCAAACTGCAAAGACAGAACGTTATGTGCATTTTCTTATATAAAGTTAATTCGCAAAATTCTTGAATTTATATTTCGAGGTTGAATACCTCTGTCGCAAAAAGCATTCTCATTGGTTTAGCAATAACTAATTGAAGCCAAATACTTGTTTTTGAATACAGAACTGCGTGTGTTTACTCCAAGGTAGATTATTAGAAAGGAAAAAATTGGCAGCTGTTTGTGATTTCCCAAATCCGATGTCAGACGTATGATACCTTCCCTGCATATCTTCAGTGGGTCTGTAGCGAGCGCTAAAGACAGAACCATCAATCCCAGACTATGAATATCAGGACAAGACCAGAGTTATGAAAGAATTAACAATCAAATGTCAAAAGACCTGAAAATCAAACTCATGCCAAGCGCGTCGCGTCGAGTTGTGTTCCTTCCATTGAGTAAAACAACCAGCAAGTTCAAGAATGAGGAACAGGTAAGGAAAGGCAAGATAGCCTGGCGCCTCTGCACAGGTAAAACTACACGCATTGTTCGACAAAGCACTGAGGACGCATCACACAGTGCGTGACCGATCTCATGAAATGTTAGCCGAAATTCTGAAATGGGTTTTCGATTAGGAAGGATTAATTAGGTGGGGTTTCAATGCTGACTAGCTTGCAGTGTGACCCTATAGCATTTCGGACTCAGCAGCTTGTTGGCTTTTAAACGCACTTATTTTTAACCTCCTATAGAAACCACACTTGGTTAAAAATGACTACTTAAGTAGCATGCATTCTTTATATTGATTTTCGATCGTCTTATAAATTCAAATATATTTTATAGAAAACGTGCGCAAAAATATGCTTTCTTTTACTCGTTTGGTAGAAGGTAACATCGTCTTTACATTTTATGCCAGAAGAAGGCGTATATTTCGGTTTTAAAAAAGTTTCACAATTCCCGAATAATTTTGAGCCTGATCTACCATCGCATTGGCGTTTAGCGATTTCAGTCTACAAGGTGCATGCTTTCCGATTAAGTAAAATCATATATTCCTATATGCCCTTAAGAAGATACCACATATAGAGATCAAAAAAGTTTGCAATGAATACGGAGTGTGTTATGCCTTACATGAGGAGCATTGGTAAACGGACATGTGCGGTGCTATATGCATAGACGTCACGCTGTCTTAAAAATCTCATAATAAGGAACTTTTTTAAAACCAAAATATACGCCTTTTTCGGGCATAAAATGTAAAGACAATGTTACTTTCTACCAAAAGAGTAAAAGGAAGCATATTTTTGTGCACGTTTTCTATAAAATAGATTTGAATTTATATGACCATCGAAAATTAATATAAAAAATGCATGCTACTTAAGTAGTCATTTTTAACCAAGTGTGGTTTCTATATAAGGTCAAAAATAAGTGCATTTAAAAGCCAACAAGCTGTGGAGTCCAAAATGTTGTAGGGGTACGCTGCAGGTTAGTCAGTATTACAAACCCTACCTAATTAATCCTTCCTAATCGAAAACGCATTTCAGCATTTCGGCCAACATTTCATGAGATCGGTCACGCACTGTATATGAGAACCTATCTGCATTATTAGTGTAATACCAAATGTTTTATCTGACCATTTACGCGATGCATGAACAAAATGTGTAGCCCTCAGATGGCAAATGATTTTGCGCCAAAGGCGTAGATAACTACGCAATGAACAGAAGAAAAGACCTTTGTCATGCATACTTTTTATAAGCTACGTTTAGTCTTATAAGGGCATCAAAATCTGTGGGAATAATTAATGCTTACTAAGTAGTCACTTCAAAACGGGGTATAATATACTTCAGCGGCCAATAAGAAGCTCATTTAGAAGCGGGTATCCTGATATCATTGTCATATCATAACACTATGGGGCTCGATATTTACTATGGCAACCCTAGCTGAGTAATTTTTCTTCGGGTTGAAAACACGTCCGAATTTCAATCAATATTTAACGAGACAACATTAATTAGTCTCATAATGTTTCTCATGTGCATTGCGGTATATGCTGTACATTTACATTTCAACTCTCAGGTCCTTAGTTTTCTCATAATCTAATGCGTTCGGTTTAAGTAAATTCTGCGAACTAATATTCCAATATTTAGTTCGAAATTGGACACAAATATTCAGGCAAAAATCTTCCAGTTACAACGAAATTTTTGGGGGCTGTTACTAAAGGTGCACGTATTTGGCTGCCGACAGAAGTCAAAATGCACTTTGTATGACGGTCGAAGTATGAGGAACGATTTCGGTTTTTGGCTGCTTTACCGCATGAAAATCCCGTGATTCCTATTAAAAGTTGAAACAACTAAAAACAACAACAACGACTGCGCTCTCGCAGCGGATTACCATTGACAAAGTCATGTAAAGTCATACAGGGGGAGTCGGTTTGTCTGTGATCGAACATGGTGGTTCAAGTACGAGATGTAATTGGTCTACAATAAGTACCTTAACTTTATCAAACCGTGTTGCGTTCGCTTATTACAAATCAATCATTAGTCTTTGAAATTGGTGACAGGAATAACTGAAAAATGCAAAGTTAATATTGCAAGTCCACGGTTTGCCTCCGCCGCATTCAGACGAATTATATACCAATTCCAGTAGATGCCAGCTATTTGTAATCTACTTCTACCATCTTGATGAACAAAGTAAACAGATAAAAACTCTGTTACATCCTAGGTTGCGCCCAGTTGATGACAAAAGTGTACCCACTGCTCCAGTAATTAGAACTTAACCTCACTTAAAAGGCACTTCAGCAGTTGCGGACAAAGAACTACGTCGGAGAAACTGGAAGACTGCTCCGAACGCGAATTGCCAAACACGCGGCAGCGGTACGGAGAAATGACGCCAACTGTCAGGTCGCGGCCCATTCGACGAGACCCGGCCACACATTAAAGTTCGCTGAGGACGAAATTCTCGCGAGAGGGGATAATCGCGTGAGCCGCGAGTTGCTTGAGTCATGGTTCACGGGACCTCAGTTTATCAACAAGTGCAACGACATCCCCACTCCATATTCTATCCTGAGGCATAAACTGGCCAAAGCAATTGACCACTCGAGGAGCGCGCATGCCGGTGAGCCAGATGACCGAGAAATCAGCAGGCCAGCATCCAACACGGGCGATGCCATTTCGACAATTAACAACTTGCAGACCGGACATCAAGCAATTAGCGCACCGGCGGGCAACAATCCTTGATGAAGGGGGGCGCGGTTAATTGCTATAGGTACGCGGTAGCATAGCGACTGCATCCTATAAATACTGCAACTTCCTGTGCACGAGTCACCCTTTTCTGCCACTGTCTCTAATGATGGATTCAAGTGAGAATCCGAAACGTCAGGCGAATAAAGACTTTATTCCAGCGATCGCTTCTTCTTCTGATCAGACACATGGTTGTCGGGATAGATCGAAGTCGATAGAATCGAATAGGCGAGTTCCAGGAAGCAGTTCATAGGAAGAAGACGCGATCACTGGAACAAGAAGTTTATTGGCCTGATGTTTCGAGCCCTATCTGCGTCTGCCTCTGTTGTTACTAACATATATGCAACTCACAATCATTATCGGTATCGTTTGAAAACCTACCTTACTTCCATTTCTCATGGTATAACAGACGAAAAAAGCAGACAAATCGTAAGCCTTACATAGGATGAAATAGGAAATGGATTCGAACACTATGAAATCCTCCAACTCAAA